TTTTTGTTGATGCAGATTTGTTGCGATAGTTAATACTGAGTTCCTAAATTATGTTTAGTATTCATGTCAATTGTGATGGGTTTGGGCAGGGAATTGTGTTTACTTGCTTCTCAAGCAAACGACGAACTGGAGTGACTCCTTTTGTTTCATTGCTTATCGTGTCTAGATTTTAATCCCGTTGAAGGTTGATGCCCGTTAATACTGATTACTGCTCGAGAATTTGGATTAATGTTTTTGAGATTTCACAGCGGTTACATGGACACACACATGCAATAATTTGATCAGAATTGTTGACTGCCTCTGACATCTGAGACAATCCAATTGAAGAACAGAGCTGCTTCTCTGCTAGTCCTTATATTCCAGGGTTATTGATCGTTTGTGTTGGTTGTTCGGTCTTAATTTACTCGGACATTCATTTCTTGTTTTGGTTTTTATATACCTGACTTTAAGCAATTTAGACGAGGGTTTGGAAGTTGCTCATTTTCTTGTATCCTGTATTGGCCATACACGATACATGGAATTACGTTCAGGTTCATGCTAACAGTTATATATGGATTATTAGTCACCTTTGCATTTTCACATTAAGATGGTACATTTTGTCTGCTGAGCTTTGGTTGGAATCTTGACCAAAATTACAGGGCAGATTAGCTTTGGTAATTGAAAGAGATAGGTTTGAGTTCAAGTAACTAACTTGGTTCCCTGGAGGAGCATCAGAAACACAAAACTGCAATGAATTTTGAGGGTGAATTAATTACAAGCTTAACTAGCCCCTAAGACATACGCAAACATGATTCTTTGCAATGAACAACGATTTGCATCCTTGACTTGTGTTTCATGCAATATTTCCTAGGCAGCTCATAGATCCCTAGTGGATATTTTTTGTCCTAATCTGCATTTTCAAACTGTATCCTAATTGATCTATTAGTTTTATGTATACAGTTCGTTATATGAGGAAGGAAGATTCTGTGAGACCTACCATTTGCATGATGATGGTTGGAGAGATTGTGAATCTTGTGGGAAGGTCAGTGCATAAAATTGTTGCTGATCTTCTTTCCTATTATATAAAAAGATATTATTTTGTTTGTCGATGTTAAATCTTCAATGTTTTCTGTTGCAGTCGATCCATTGTGGATGTATAGCGTCTTTCAATAGTCATTTTCTATTAGACGTTGGTGGCATAATCTGCATGGAATGCTCAAGGCTAAATTTTCTTTTGGTAGGACAAATGGACAACCATTTTTAAATTTATTGCAATCATCAGATTGTTGCTTTTTATGAGTGGTTCCGAGATTACTCTTATGGCTTAAATTTACCTTTATTTAGTAGTTGCAATGGGATATAAAATTCCTGGAGGCCTAGACTTCCTGTTAACATGTATTTAATGTCTCCCCTAACACATAAGTTTCAGGGAGGGTTTTAGATTAATACTCGGCTATGGTGATGTTAGATGATATGAGTTTGCATCACAAAAGCAAATCTTCGTGTATACAACCAAATAATATGAAGTTAGGTGTTTTATTACTATTGATTTTGTTAAATGAAAAAAAAGAAGTCAAATGTCTTCTAGTAAATTGATGAGAACATCTAAAGTTGAAGCGTCATCAGTCGCAACATAAATTCTAAAGGACTGAGAAAGGAACACAAAAAATTTCTGTCCTTGTTAAGCAATCATCCGCAATCCTAATGTTTTACACTTTTCTCCTGGACTGACAAAGTAATGTTGTAAACTTATGACTGCAGGCTCGAAACCAGTGTATGCCTCTTGACCCTGATACAACAGCTTGTGAATCTGGTTCAGAACGATCTGGCAAAGCCTTGGCAGAAGCCCAGTTCTGGCCTCGAGTGACTGATCTGGAAATGCCACAATTCTCTAGAATGTATCCTCATTTTACAAGTTTCAATATTATGCAAAAAGAAGCTCTTTAGATTCGTTGTTTTTTTCTTCTGAAATTAGAGGGCAATTTAGGGTGCCAGAAATTTCGTGAATTTCCCTAAAGTTACTCTCCAAATTTACTCTAACGTAAATGCACGTCATTTTTTAATGATATGGTCCTTGACTACATTCTAGCCCCAACGCTACTGTCACTCCTCTGTTTGAAAAGATATTGACTACTAGTGATGCTGATCTCAAACTAGCGCGCCTAATTATACCAAAAAGATGTGCAGAGGTAGCTGAATTCTCCTGCCTTATCTTGGCATATTTTTAGTGGTAAATTATGAGAACCATCCATGGTTACAAATTACCCAGTTATGTTTAATATCATATATGCATGGTTTATAAATGTCATGTTTCAACAATTTATATATAAATAATTTTTTCTTCTGTGATTAGGTTGAACCCCAAAGGTATTCACTAACCCTTATTATTTTTGTGTCACCGAGCATTTACGAAACTCATTCTCAAACAGTCTTCGTTCCCTAATATTTCTGGCCCGCATGGGTTGCACATCAAAATACAAGATATGGAAGGCAGTGAATGGGAATTTCACTACAGATATTGGATCAATGGTGGAAGTAGGATTTATGTTCTCGAGGGGCTCAGAGATTATATGGTCTCAAAGAATTGGCAGGCAGGCGATACTGGTACTCCGTGATTCATTTTCTAAGATATAATGATCTTGTCTAACCTGTGTTGCTAGGGACTGCAAAAAGGTCTACCATGATTATCAAATAAGAATAGTTTGTTACCGTTAAGGAGATGGTTCTGGTCTTCAGTTAGTCTTTGATAAGAATCTCATTTTATTCATGTGGCTTTCATATCCAGTGTTCTTTCCAGGAGAGTGATAAATTGAGTATTGTCCATTAGTTTGTCACCCTTTTACAAGTCGCTTTCTTTTAATAATGAATCAAAGTAACTTGAGCTTTGTTTAGAACAGTTTGTATGAATCATAGTATTTATTTTCCTTTCCATTTTTCCAGTTACGTTTTATCGAGTGGAACCAGGAGGAAAGGTAATAATGGGGTTAAGAAGGACCTCTGTTGGCTAAGACCTTCTAAGCGAGGACAAACTCAATTGGTATTTCCTTTTCACCAGAATCTAACACCAAGGCCAAAGAAAAAAAAAAGAAAAAAATAAAAAAGCAGAATTCCAGATGCACAATGGGAAAATTGTGACTCATGGTTGGCCACTATTTTGCTTATATTTTGTGCATTCTGTCTGCATGTAACTTTTTTTTCTGGAGGGGTTGAGAATTTGTATCTGTTTGGTTCTTCCGAGTGTAGAAGCTTTCTTTTAAGGCATGACTTTTTTCTTTTTCTTATCTTAGATGTCTCCTGAATTGAGTTTTTCTTCTTTGGTGTTGGCCAGTGGCAGATTGACAGGCAGAGTGACAGAATGTTCTGTTGTAAATAAATGTAGTATTATTGTACCAGAGATATATTTGACAAGGTCATCTAGTCGAATTTGATTTTGGTTTTTATTAAATTTGTATTTTGTAAAATTGTATTTCGTTGTTTCTTATAGGAGTTGATTAAAGGGCTTTCTCTCTCTAAAACTCTCTCTGCCGAAAATCCCTTATCCCGTCTAGCCCCCTTCGTGTTTTTTCGGCTTCTTCTCCAACAGGGGTTTCCGAGCTTTTGGCGGTGACGCCGTTGGGCCTCGTGGCCCATTTCCTAGAGGATTGCCGCCTGGAGGTGTTGTTCTTCACCAGGGAGGAGGATGCACTCGTTCCATGTCTAGGTCTTATCGTGGCTCTAGTGCTTTGACGGAGAGGCGGGTGGCTGATTCCTGAGTGTTTGTGCTATGGCGATCCTCCGGATTTTCTTCAAGAGTGGGTTGCAGATCCAATATTTCTGTTCGTGGGAATCGAAGTGGAGGGTTTTGCCCCTTTTTACTGTAGTCCTCTTCGGAGCGGAGGGGGTGTCCGGCAAAGCGAGTCGAGGTTTGGGTCTGAGTAGGTGGTGTTAGTCTGAGTGTTTTCGGTGATGAATGTTTCTGGGATTGGATTGGGGCCTGTTTGAGTAGTTAGGCGTTCTTTTGCAGTTTCTGTGTCGGGTTTCTGGGCCGGCAGTTTCAGAAGCAGCGAAACAGGCAATATGACTCAGAAACTTTTTGGTGGGCTTAGATGTGATTCCGAGTTTACTATAGGATGTCAAAGTTTATTGTGATAACAGTGATGCAGTAAAAGGTAAAGTTAAAGTTCTTGTGCACATAATTGTTTCGCATCTTGTGCACATAACCATGAACTCTTGTGCACATAATTGTTTCACATATAGAGGCGAGGCGAAGTTCAAGTTCTTCGGGCCCCGGAGTGAGGTGAGGGGTTTGGTGGGCCAAACTTTCCGGTCCATCTATAAGAACCCATCTTCATTGGGCCTCATCATGGCGGTGGTTGGTGGGAAAGATGATATAAATGACGTTGTCTTTTGCAAAGGGCAATAAGAAATGCTGTGTTTGATGCGGTACAATTATATAAGGGGAGATGTTCATGGATCATAGAATTGTTAGTAAATTCTATAATTGAAATGAGACTGTTTGAAAGGGTTTTCTTTTCCATTTCACGTTCCATTTCGTTGGGTGATTAACGTGTGCACAAATATGACTTCCTCATTTACACGTCATTCATCCAACTGAATGAAACATGAAAGTAGAGCAGAGAATATCAGTATGTTATCCTTTGTCGCTTGAGATTAACCCGGCTTGCGTGCTTACATGTAAATTTTTAATTTTCTTTTCTTAAATTGTTTGTATTATTTTAGTATTGTTATTATTATGTTTCAGTATGAAATGGCTTTATTCAAAATGCTAATGAAGGTTACGCATGAGTATATTTGAGCCACAAATAGGGTTGCACACAAACCGAGGCTTGCGAGCGCTCGAGTTAAAGGCCGACTCAAGCTCGAGTCGAGCTCAAGCGGCTCGAGCACGAACTTGAGTCGGGCTCGAGCCCATATTTTGCATTGTTTAGCGGCTCGAGATGCATGTTAAATTATTAAAATATCCTTATATATATTAGCATAGGGGTTTAATGGTAATTTTACTTTCCATTAAAAAATTTCAAGCCGAACTCGAGCTGAGCTCGAGCACTTTGATTTCGAGTCGATTTCGAGCTATTCTAATATTTATTGAGTCGAGCTCGAGCTCCAATTTGAACTTGAGCAGCTAAAAAAAAAAATCAATCATGCTCGATAAGGCCAGACTTGTTTGCAGCCCTAGCCATAAGCAAAAAACAATTTATTTGCTGCATTTGTATGACTGAATTATGAATCCTCTCTTCATGAGAGCCAAATCCTCTCGAGTGCAGAGTTCATCAGCGTTATGCTTCCTCATCCTCATAGATTTGGGGTTTTTAAATACATTCAAAAATTATTAAATGCATTTAGGGCGCCTGTATTAATTATCGTGTTTTATGTCCAATTTTAAGAGCCATTTCTGCTAGGATTTGTCGTTAACCTCTTTTCCTTTTTTTGTCTGTCCTTCTCTTCTCTTTGTGCTCTCTCTTCTCTCTCAGATTTCAGATTCCTCTAGAGTGCGCTGGGCTCTGAGTTCATGGTGGAAGACATTTCTCAAAAGCTGGGAGCCTTCCAATTATCGGAGAATGAAGCCAATATCATCAATATCGCAGATGGGGATATCCACCAGAGTGCGGACGACTGCGAAAAAAGCCTGATTGGGAAAATTATTGGCCAGAAAACAGTCGGAATTATAGGGCTTAGAAGAGCTGTCAACCAAATGTGGCTAATCAGAGCCCCTGTCACAGTCCGGGAAATTAGCAAAAACTTTTTTCAATTCCTCTTTTCCAATAAGGAAGACAAAGATAAAGTGAGTAAGGGTGTTTGCTGGACATTTGAAGGCCAATTTCTAATCCTAAGAGATTGGAGAGAAGACTTTTCTCCAGATCACCCCGAGTTCAAAGAGCTTGATATTTGGGTGCAAGCTTGGAATATCCCT